TGCGGGTCCATTCCAGCAACGTGCCGAATTTTAATGAGCCGTTTGATTTCCATACCTCACTTAAACTGTTGTTGACGATTAAAAAGTAAATTGTAGGTAGTCAAAACATTTTATCGATCTAGTGATAGTAGTTAAAAAGAAAATTCTAACAAATACTTTTTTAAATATTTCTTAGCTTTGTTGAAGCGTAAAGCTCAATGTAAAATGTATTTTTTAAAAGGAAATTTTGCTGAAGTTCTTGAGTAGCCTAGTTCGGAATCGAACACCTTGATGCATAGAAATCGCATAGAATGACGAATCGAAATTATGTGCATACAAAGGTCTAACTAGTAGCCAATTTCAAAGCAGAATGCACGTAAATGAATCAGGCCATGAAACTAAACGAAAACAAAAACAAAAAAACACCTGTACGATTGTGCTATTTGTGGGAACTTATCCTAAAAACATGATCATGTTTGTTTTTATGGTTCGTGTCAATATTAGCGCCGGCACGAGACAAAAACTGACTGGTTGAGATAACATAGACGTTACTTAATCGATACTTGTTGTAACTCATGATTGCCTACCCACCGGAAATGGCTCTACCGGGGTCATTACTGATACTTTTCTCGTTCGTGGGATCCAATCATTAAGACAAGCGCGTCAATTATCAAGTCAAGCGACTGAAAGACAGTAGCATAAGAGAAACCTTCTTCTTTTGGTTTTTGCTATCATCTTCATGTATGATTAACAAATTTTTCCATAATAGACCAGTCATCATGTTTAGCGCCTGGGAAGGGGAAACAGAGTGGGTCAGTCGCTTGCCAAAAGAGTATAAAGAGGGACTGTTTAACCCTTTACACCCTAACATTAGTATTCATATTCTCCATACTGTTCTCTATACATTTAATAAGGTGCTGACAAGGAGAATTTGTCTAACAATCAAGAGTTTCTTTAGTTGGTGGTCATTTTCTTTATTCTCGTGGTACTAATTCGTGATTCATGGATGATATTGTAAGGAGATATTAGATGTTAGTTACTCCTTGGGTTAGAGGGTTAAAAATAAAAAGATGACTGCCAATTAGGGGGAACATAGGAAAATCTTGTCTTTGCACAACCTTTCAACCCTCCCCAAGTGATAAATAGTGAATAATACATGGGCGCGCGTAGATATGGAATTCCTCTTCTAGTTTTTACCTCGATAGCTCACGAGTGAGCACAGAGAACGAGTAAGATGTCGAGTTGAACACGAGAAGAGAAATTTCATATCTACAAGCAACCATGTATTATTTTGTTTATTATATAAACATAACAGTGTTGTCCGAATGAAGATTGAAGGATCGACAATCCCCGAATAAATATCGTAAAATGCATTAGCGCTAAGGCTGAAGATGAAAAAATGCATTGCATCATTACTAAAACAACAGGGGACCGAAAAAGCAAATTTTTCTCATCAAGTTTTTAAAAAGGAATAATGTATCAAACACTTTTTGCTGCCGTCGCTCGATATTTTTATAAATTATTGTAAATGCATTGCATCATTACTAAAACAACAGGGGACCTAATTTTCAATAAACAAAACTCTCAATTTTGTACTTGGTCCTAACCGACTGTAGAAGTCTTCTGAGTACACGACCAAAGTCTTCCTGTGGCAAATCTTCCAGTTGTCGACTTTCGTTCTTGGCTGCGAGAAACGCCATTACCAAAGACACTGAATACGTAACTTTCGGTTTTTCTTTCCATATTTTGTCTTCTTCCCCTTAAAAGAAAGTTTGAACGTCACTGTCTCAAAGCGATACGAATTTTTTAGTGTTTAAGTAAAATTCCGACAAACGACCTTGGATTGAAAATGGTGAAGGCTTCGCCGTTCATTCATCAACCTGGAAAGGCAAGTGACGTTCAGCAGCTGATTGGCGATATCAAACACACGTGAAAAATACGCTATTTTTTCTCGTGCGTTGTTACGGCTTTTCTCAGGGCTGGAAATCCTTGTATAACACCGTAGTTTATATGATAAATGAGTTTTCACTCTCAAATTCCTCTTGGATTAAAACGACCGGAAGTCAGTGATACTTCCGACGGCCAAAACGTCAAAGCTTGAATCACATGACATGCACATCGCTACTCGACCGAGTGGACCGTACTTGAATGAAAGTTCAACGCCTTGAAGTTTGCACAGCCTGATTATTTACAAGAAATACAGTAGTTTCCAATTTAAGAAACTTTCAAGGGTTCGAGGTCCAATTTGAGAGAAGCATTCGAGTGTGTTTGAGCTTTAGGCTATCGGTAAGCGAAAACGTGCATTGTGAACAGTTTGGTCCTGTGTTTTGGAATCAAGCAGGTGAGTAATCAAAGACAGTTTTTGTAGTCACATCCAAAATTCAATATATTGCTCCGAGCGTACGAGTTACGAGTGAAAAACTTACCAAGACAAGCATTCGGCTCAATTTTGAAAAAAAAATTCAAGGTATCTTGAAGCGTTGTACCCATTTACAATTGTTTTGCTGTGTAGTGGCTGGCGAATGGAAGAAACCAATTTTATGGCTACTCGGACAGACTTCAGAGATGAGCATTTGTGACCAAAGATTCCGGCAAAGCGCAGAAATTTCATGCCAAAATCTACAATTCATCGTCAAAGTATTGAAGGTAAGTGGCTGTTTTTTTTTATTTCATGTCGGCGCTATTTTCTTTCTTGATTGTTGACCGAGAGCTCAGGTGATAAGCTCCTGTTTTCGAGTTCTGTGAGATAAGCACGCACGCTTCAATTTTCGTGACGCGTGCAGTCAAAAAGCAATCAAAAGGTATCTCAATGCCTGATCTTGTTGGCGTTTTAGACTTTGGCATCTATCGGCCTTCCTAATCGAAGCGGTTCTCAGTGGATCGAGTCTTCTATATCGTTCTTTGTATTCTGGTGATGTTACATGCTCAAATCAAACCATAAAAACGTTTTTTTTTAGCACAAGCTCCGTACTTTACAGAATGCATGTCCAGCATACATTGCGGTTCATGAGCACGCAGTCACACACTCAACAAAACATGTCACGCACCCTACAGTGACACTTATAAGTACGAAGTTTGTATCTCACTTCTCAAGGCTTTCAAAATTTTTACAAAATGATATCTCAGAGGGACTCAACAATCGACTATGTTTTTCACGTATGGTGTAACTTTCAATATTAAATCTCATGTCAACAACAATGGTCTGCAAGCACAGCTCGGTTACCTTAGCATCAAAACAATAACACTTCGCCTCGTCAAAAGAGAGAATGTCCCTACACTTGCTGATTACTGTGATCACTTTCCTTGTCTTTTTATTTCTTTCACTATACACGGTATTACACCCCAAAATATGCATCTTTTAGATGCTGTTTTCTCATACCTCATAGGAACCTTCGAAACTCCATGCACTTTATGGCCCGGTGTTAAGGGAGTTCATTTTATGTCGAGTCTTACACTTGCTTTTTACTCTGGTGTCACCTTGAATGAGTATAAGAAACAGACAGTTGAAGAGATTACACACTTTCCACGGCGAAAACTCGCTGAGCGTCGTAATTTTGCTTCAGTGTTCAATCGCTGGGCGATAGCGATGTGTTTTATGCTTAATTTTTTCCCGTCAATTGTCTCCAATCTATGGTTTTTCCCATCAAGTCAATCATTAATTCGAACATAAACAACCGAGGAAACTGTTCAGAATTTGGAGTCGCAGCAACCTCCATCGTGTCGAACAGTTTAAGTCAAAGACAAAAATTAAGGCAGGGCTAAAATTGATTCATGAAGTCATCTTCAAATCTTGTCTGTGGCACTCTGAATGATCCAGATCAAATACAGGCTGGTTAGTACCAAAACCAATCTTTAATAAATCTATACCAAAGGTAATCAGCCACAATAAAATAAATATTGGTTACTATAATTACAATCAACCTCAGCTAGTAGATGGATCTAACCAATCGCCAATTCTTGAATATCGTCGAGAAAAAATATTTCCCTTGATACTATACTTGAGTCTCTTCAAATTTATATACAGATCATATTTCACTAACTTACAGAATTAATTGTTATTAAATGTTCTATGCGAAGGAAATGTTATCCAAACATTCACGAATAATCTTGGGACAATTTCACAAGTACTTAAAAAATTTCGTCACAATTATTTAAGAAACTTCGTCAAGATGCTTCCTTCTATCAAGTACATGTATAAAAAATTCAGATTAAAAATAAACTTGATTAGGAACTAGAGAGTTGTTCAAGCATTAGCTACCTTTTAATAAAACATTAGCAGCAGATAAGGTAAAAAACAACAATAACAAACCAAAAAAAAAAAAAGAAGACAATTTCTGATAGCACACAGATAACAATAAATGCTTCTCTAGTATCGAAAAAGCAAATTTTTCTCATCAAGTTTTTTAAAAAGGAATAATGTACAAACACTTTTTGCTGCCGTCGCTCGACATTTTCATAAATTATTTTAAAATTTCCATTTGTCGTGACGCTGTTAAATTAAAATTGCAGCATAAATTATCGCATTCGTCAGTCGGTAAATAACTTGAAATTTGCGCATAATTTCTTAAATGGAATTATTTGTTAAAGATACGTCGCTCAATATTTCCATAAATTATCGTAAATTTCCAATTGTTGCGAGGCTGTTAACTTAAAATTGCAGCATAAATTATCGCATTTGTCAGTCAGTAAATAACTTGAAATTTGTGCATAATTTCTCAAATGGAATTATTTGTTAAAGTACGTCGCTCAATATTTCCATAAATTATCGTAAATTTCCAATTGTTGTGAGGCTGTCAAATTAAAATTGCAGCATAAATTATCGTATTTGTCAGTTAGTTAATAATTTAACTAAATGGAACTATTTGTGAAAAGAACTATTTGTGAAAGAAAGTCATAACAGCTATCAATTCGATTCAAACTTCTGGAAAACTTAGGTGACTTTTACCTTACCCCCACCTTACCCCACCCCGGTCTCACCTCACCCCCATCTTACCCCCCCCCCCCACCCCCTTACCCTCCCTTCTTCCTCTCTGGGGCAATAAAGCCATGCTGCGGTTCGACACTATTCTCAAGGAAGTAAATTTATTTTGCTTAACTTTTTAGAAGCCTTCGCCCGCTCATTGCTGAGACTGACTTTCGCAATAATCAAAACAATTAATCATAAAAAAAAAAAATAAATAAATGAAAACAGAACTCCAATACGGACAAAACAAAGTACACAATATTTCTATGACTTCTGCCGCGTGTCTGTACGGTCGGTAACAGCCAGTCATGGAGGAGTATTTAACTCGGAATGCTATTATAAAATAGATACCTTTGTGGTCTTCGAGCAATTTGTCTTCTATTTTGGTTGTTACAGCATTTTGACCTAAAGCGTGATCTGTTACCAACAGAACAGACACCTGGCAACGTGGAACTCAGTTTCTGATTAGAAAATAACTAATAAAACACGGCTATGGGTATGTGTCCAACACAAAATTACTCATTTATGCAGGTGTGCCGTTCATACAGCTGTATCAGCAATATAATTTGCATCAGTTTCTTCTACCGTGTTCTCGGGTATATTAATAACAGAATCAGCCTTATCATTTATTTCACCTTTACCTGGTGTTTTATAAACCGATTCAGTTGCACCATTCCCTTTACCCGGATCTGGAGGTATGTCAACAGAAGTGGAATTATCATTCATTTCATTCAGTAGCAGAGCTGTATGGGCAGAATCAGTTGTATCTTTTCTTGGAGTCGTATCAAATTTACGTTCCCATTGACTAGCACAGTGCGTCAGCCCAGCTCTCCTGGTAGCTTCTATCAATCCTCTGATGGTGCTCCCTTCTTTTTCGCCAAATGCCTTGAGAAGGTTTTCAATTGGATTTTGCGCACCTTCCCATCCTCTGGACTCATCTTTGAAACCAAGTTCTTCCGCAACACTTTGCCAGTAAAAATAACCTAAATTAAGAACAATACGGAAAACTGTTTGAATGAAACCTCTTAAAGTGCCTATGACACGGTTTTTTTTGCATTTTCTGGTTTATAGCTGTATTGAAAATTAGACATAATCAACCTTAGCGCCAAGCGAGTTCTTTCTGACCATTTTTTGTGCATTGAAAGTAAGATTTAACGGCCAAAAAGTGTTCCCAATAAGCGTGCGGCCAAAACGATCATGTTACGTAGCTGTGACGTAGAAAAATGTGAAGACACGTCGGCAACTGTGGTGGAAAAAGCAGAAATCTGGGAGAAAGGATGAACGTATTGCATGGCCAGAGCGCCAAATGATGTTAGCTACAAGAATAATACACATATACCGGCTATTTCTATGCATTACTTTCGATAGGATGTAGCCGTATGGCTAAAATGGACCCGTTTCGATCGTCGACATCGAGGAGATTTGACTCTTCAATGCCATCGGTCGTATACTCCGTACTGGTGTCCCAGTGGATTTGGACCCCACAAGATTTGGACCCCCGGTCCAAATCCGCTAGCGGATATGAACCCCCCTCCGCGGATTTGGACCTCCCAACAAAACTGAGTGAAAACATCATCCTTAACGTACTAGTAAAAATGGATGATACTGTACGTTCCAGTGCGTACTAAAGTATATTTTTAATTCAAACATGCTTATCGTTAATGCATACGAACTGGCATCCCGTCGGATGTTTCTTTTGACCAAGGGAAAATGGGCAATAATTTAGTTTAATGTCTGGAGAAGTGTCGTTTTTGAACCTTTTCCGCGATAGTCGAACACCGCTAGATTCAATAAGAGACAAACTTGTGACACTAATTTATTTTGTCATTGTTCAATCCGAGTGTTGGTAAATTAGATGGTAGCGAATCTAAGTGCCGTGTGAAAGTCGATGCGTACGAAATATTAATTTCTCATACTGATGTCAGGTATCTCCTTTGAGCGTCAAATGGCAATGCGGCACGTAAACTCAAGAAGTTTTGCCCTATTAAAATCCCTATTCAAGATCAACTTGAATCACATGACTATAAACTCACTCTTTTTCCGTTTGGTTTGACCAGCTCGACGATCGCGACGGGTATCCAGTTACCTCGCCACCAAGCAGACTCGCCACCAGCGAACTCGCCACCAAGGAACGATCTTGCCACCAACGTACTCGCCACCAAGCGAAGTCTTCTCGCCACCAACCACCAATAAAGAGATTAGTCGAGGAGAGTAGGATGTTCGGCTGATAAGTTTGTTCGCTTGTCTGTACTCAATCGAGACGACTTACCATCTTGTCCTGGAGGGAACCATAAGAGGGAACACGAAGCTGGTGACCAACACTGGTTACACCTTCAACATCCGCAAAAGACGACCAAACGGAACCATCGACTGGCAGTGCACCGTACGCCGAAAAGACCACAGGTGTAAAGCATCCGTTATTCAGCGGGATGGTGCATTCTTCGCGGGAATGCATGGCTACAACCACCTCGGTGAATTTGGTGTCCTTGCTTCCACCCAGATCCAGTCTCGCGTGAAACAGGTGCAGTTAATATATTTTTTTAAACTTTTTTTGAAGTTCGTTCAAATAAATTACGGCATGGGGTTTTCTAGTATATACGAACCGCCAATCAGAAGAAATTTCTTGTTTCACACTTTACTTTGTAATTATCTTAGAAAATAGATAGTAGAAGCCACTCGAAAATATTTGATGTGACCACAGGAGTAAAGGTTGGAGTAAAATACGCAAATTTTCTACACACTCATATTTTGTATGTTATTCTTTATCACAGGTAGCAAGCATTTGAATTGTGCTCGTTCGAACATCCTACTCTCCTCGACTACTTTATTCTAGTTTATCTCTTTATTGGTGGTTGGTGGCGAGAAGACTTCGCTTGGTGGCGAGTACGTTGGTGGCGAGATCGTTCCTTGGTGGCGAGTTCGCTGGTGGCGAGTCTCCCTGGTGGCGAGGTAACCGGTAACCTCGCGACGATAGCCTCTGCCTTTGCATTCTCTGAGGAAAGGAACAACTTGCAGTGAAACTGCCCGATGGCCTCTCGGTGAAAAATAACTATGCCAAGTGATACAGCTGATTCTTTCGTAAAAAGTTAGCTTTTGGCTTATCAAGGGAATTTCTCTACAGCAACGAAACTCTAGAGCACCGAACGAGGGGAACCTTCAGTTCGCCACACATAGTACGAAGGAATAAAATGTTTTGGCAACAGAAGCGAACACAGCTACCCATTCTTAACATAGATTTCGCCAGAGAAAACAAAACACAAACGCAGCAAACTGAACATTCAGAAAAGGGAATTTTTAATTCTAATCTTGACCTAAACACCGCAGGTGAGAACCGTCTTCGTTTGATGCAGCGTGGTTCTCCATTGTAGGGCTGAGCCGTACTCACAACTTCATTTCTTCTCTACTTCTTGAGGAGGATGTATCACAACTCTCAGTAGAGCTTGCTGAAGCCGGATAGGTATACATCGCTATCGGACATTATTTCAAGAGTATTTTAACGCTGACTGATACAATATTACAAGAGATGTGAGAGTTTGCGAGTGTCAACTGAGAGTTTTCAAAGTTTTCTACGTCATCAGCCGCTAATTTGTTACCCGTGGGACACTGTTAGACTGAATAAGAGCGCTTTAGGACCCGAAAAGACCGAGTTTTAGGTTTTTTGAAATTTTTCTTCCATTGGAATTGGTTTGTACATATGATGAGCTAAATATTTGGGTAAAAAAAATGGGTGTCATTGGCACTTTAATAGCTGCAGTTTTAGAGCTCTAAGGAAAAACTACGTGCACCACTGTACACAACTTGTTTAAGTAGTGATGATTTACTCCTAAGAAAATGCCAAAATTTTAAAACACGGATATCGGCTTATCCTTTAACTCCCAAGATCTCTTTAGTAATTCTCCCAACTGTCTGCCATTCAATTCTCATTAGGTCAATTTGGAGAATTTGGCATTGGATCAACTAATAATCCCTGAATTGATATTTTTCTTTGTTCTCATCACTTCTATGCTTGATGTTGTATTGATATGGTAAGGAGAAATTCTCTCTTAGTCACTCACGAGAGTGAGCTTCTGCCTACCTTCAATATCTTTGCCACTCAGGTCATTCTTGATTTGCTTCTTTTCTTTAATCGCTAAATCTTTGATCGGACGATCTAAGCCTAGAATTAAAATGATAAACGGAAAGTAACGAAACAACTATGGTGATTAATAATGTTAAAAGGACCGTGTGGAGTCCGATTCGGTCTGTAATCATACGAGTGATTGATAAATCATTGATTGATTTGTTAATCACGAGTATGATTACAGACAGAATTGGACAACATGAAGTTCTGTTACTAATTAATCAAAACTATGACAAAATTTGAGAAAGAAACTTGACATCGATCATACGTTTTCATTAAAAAAATAGAAAACAATAGTTAAAACGGCGAAATGCGAGACAGCGCACACACATGACGCGTTCTGTCCACTTACACAGGCATGAAGAGATTAGTGTCCATTTAATTGTCCTATTTCACCGTCCAATTACAAGCATGACGCGTACACTGTCCTATTAGTGCTCAAATCAGGCTGGTGATAACCAATCATGTTCGAGAATTTTGTGACAGTGTTGATTATGACATAAAATTCTGAGGCGGAACTAGGTTTCTGGGAAAGGGGAGGGGGGGTTGTGGCAGATGCACACTGAGTGAATCAAACTTATCCTACGACTGCCCACGACAGTTGCAACTTAAGATCGATGACATGGAAACTGTTACTTGCAAATCGTACATTCCGCTTGCAACACCACAAAATGAAAGAAACTACTGTATTTGCGTTTTTGCGTATACGCAATGACAACTTACATACGATATCACACATATCACAGAATTACGTGTTGAACTGTTGAGACAAACCTTGTCTGCTGACTTCTTCTGAAGAAGGTTTTGGAGCTTCTAAATCCACCCTGCCTGAATTTATCTCTGAAAATTCAACAACAAAACAGATTGGAGGTCCTGTTTGTTTAATTTTTAATCAAGTTTCAGATTTACAAGTAGAATGACAAATCTGAGGTATGCTTAAAACAGAATACAAGACTCCTTAAAAATAAGCCATCTATCATTACATCTACAGAATTAATTAAGTAATAAAATTATCTAAAAAGTCAGTTATAAAAGACATGCGACATGAACGCTCATCAATAAAATTGTTATAAATAGACTAATGATTTAGTTAAGTACAGTGTAAAATTAAAAATTCTACATTAAACTTGTCATGATAAAAGGCCATCAAATTCTTACGAAAGATCGACAGGGTATTTGACTCTCTTATACTAAGAGGTAGTTCATTCCACAGGCGACAGATTCGAACAAAAAAAGAATTCTTAAAGACATTAGTCCTACTACGGACTCCTACTGTTATTCTTTTTCACAAACCTTCTTCATCAAAACTTTAATAAAGTCGCAGGAATTTAACTTTCACCAATTACTGTTGACAAAAGTAGTCTCGCAGTCTTTTTAAAATCGGGTACGAAGTAAGTAACTCGCACTTTTGAAAGATTTTACGTTCTTTCATCGTCATTTTAATTACATTTCAGTGTGCAACTTGGTAGCGGAGACATCTTTTAATAATACACTATTCGAATGCAAATATATTGAAAATTATTATTCGTCTTCTCGGATAGGACGTAAAACCGTAGGCCCCGTCTCCTGCAGGGTTGGGGTAGGAGACGTTAATTACCCACGCACGAGATTACTGTGTGGTGGATGTCCTCCCCTGGGGTGGGATGGGTGGAAGAGACTTGTAAGGCGCATCTGAATATATTCATATAGATATTTGCGCCGAATAAGTATTTATATTAATTAAAAAAAAAAAAAATCATACAGTACAGGAGAGGGAGATCAATCAGGTTATCCCTATAAAAACGACCTACTAACTAACTACCTTAAGTATTAAATATATAGAAATACATAGTGCAAAGTACCTGACAAGCAAGATAAAAAAAATCTGCACTTAAGAAATTATGTGTTGTATACAAAAACGACCCTTAAAAGAAAAAACGAGAACAAGCAACGCAAGCTCACCTAACTCATGCCTTAGCCTTAAAGGAACTCGTGGCTCAGCTGAAGAGACAGTTTCCCTCGTGTCATGAGCATCCAAACCACCTTCAGATATCAATGGAGTCTTTTGCTCGCGCAATACGATGTTCTCCTCTGTGTTATCTGTATCGACATCGCCCTCTGGTTGAGGTGGACGATTTACTCGACTTCTTCTCTTATAACGCCTTATCGGGACTGTGACTAGTAATAGTGCGATCACCGTGAGTGGAAACCAAAACCACAGATTGGTAACGATTGAATTTTCCTCTCGTGGCCAAGCTGTTTTAGATTCTACCGACCCAGGATCAATTTGTGGTATCTTGCTTTTTTCCTCATTGGCAGTTCTGCTAGAATTACCTCTAACTTTTGAGTCATTACCTCAAAACGAAAAATAAAGCGAACAAAAATCAATCAAAATAAACAAAATATGAAAGCTTAGATCCAAATAAACAACTCATTCAGTTAGCACCAAAAATTGCAAGAACTGAGCTAAGCACACAAATTTAAAAAATGGATTATCATCTGAAGGAGAAACATTTCCAATCCATCATTCTTAAGTTGTCTTAATTACCAAATATCGAAGCAAATGGAAGTGAATTAACTTACTGAAGACAGGAGGAGTTTTAGACAGCTCTCGTTTTGGTGCACAATGGCGGTTATGATTAGTTGTGCATGCCTGTATTTCGTCTTCAGTCGTAGCATTACATTTAGGTGAACACTTCTCACAGCCAACGTCTTGGCGGTAATAGTATCCTTCTTCACACCCGACCTTATTCCCATTACTAAAGACAGGAGGAGTTTTGGGCAACTCTCGTTTTGGTACACAACGGCGGTCATGCCTAGTTGTGCATGCCTGTATTTCGTCCTCAGTCATAGCATCACATTTAGGTGAACACTTATCACAGCCAACGCCTCGGTGGTGATAGTATCCTTCTTCACATCCGTCGCAAGTGTGTCCAGAATATATCGTACAATTTGTTATCTTTTTAGATCGTCCGGGTAAACAGTTGGAGTATGTATCACACCTTCCATAAAGGGAGGAAAACAGTACCTTTAAGGTGGAAAGCTTAAATATCATAATGAAGTCAATTTACTTTGAATAAAAACTAATCAATTAAAGAAGGTTTGATTGAAAAAGTTTACCAAAAGGCTTGTCGAAAGTCTATCTTTGCATCCTTTTCGCCTTGTGTCACGTTCGCAAAAGAGAGAAGCTGTGAACAATCATTCGCCCATAGGGAAAGATTGTGCATTTACCATTATAGCATGATAAGTTAAGTTTAAAGGAAACAACGTAGATGAAACGAAATTAGAAAATATGCAAGAACACTTGAGACAAAGAAGGAAAAGGTGGATGAAGTGTTTGACAGGTTATTTAGCAAGATTAAGAGTGCAAGGTTGTGTTCAATATTATAAAGCGAAACATGACATAACACCAACTTACTTTATGCACTCCTCCATTCCTGTGCTGTTCGAGTAATCATAGCCAGGATAGCATTCTTGACATTCGGTGTTTTTGGTTTTTGAGCAAGGTTCCCTCAAACCAAACCCAACGGGGCAGCCTGAGCATGCGCTGCATTGTGTTCCATTCCAGTAATAATTATCTGGGCAATCACCGGCCGCGTACTTAGAAAAAAAAATAGATAAATAAAAGAAAAGAAAGTAAAACGAAATAAAATTAAAAATTGATTTCAGTGAAGAAATAGATAAGTTTTTATATAAATGAATACACTAATGAATTGAAAGATGAATAGATGACGAAATAAATGCTTTCATAAATCGTTTACATAATCGGCGAATTTAAAAATAATGTTGTTAATATTATCAATAACTATAATTATAATCATAGTAATAGTGATAATGATGATATTGATGAACTAACGAGCTACTTAATCGGATGCCAAACAAATACTATCTTATCTAAGGTTATGCGTCATGTGTCCTTGAAAAGCCTTTCTTGTTTTTTTTGCTGTCAATAAATTGAAACAGTTGCTATGTGTTATGTGTTTGTTTCGATAACAAAATATTTGCTTGTTAATCACTTTTATTGGATTGATTGGAAAAGTGAAAAAGAAGGTTAAAAAAATGGTATGTGCTAAAGCACAGGCGAGAGACGGTAGATGGTAGACGATAGAAGGTAGACGGTAGACAAGTTGACTGCCTAATTAATTAAGGTTCCACAAAATAGGGTTTTAATGAAAAAAAAACGATAAAAAATGCTAATTTTTATCATAATGGGCCACTTAATGTACAAAAACTTGCTAATCAGAATACTTCTGAAATGGATTCTAGGAGATAAACATGGGAGGTTGGGAGAACACTCGATAAGCTGGAAACCACTCCGCTTCGCGTCGTGGTTTCCTACGCTTATCTCGTGTTTTCCCAACCTCCCGCGTGTTTACATCATGCTATGTAAACACGGAAACCATTTTACATTTCTTCAATATATATATATTTAACTGTCGTGAAAGAATTTGTCAAAGTATTAGAAAAGTAAAATATCGTGCCAGTCGATATTTTACATTATTTTCTTGTCGATTATATATTCCCTTCACTGGATCTCAAGATTACAATACAACCTTTAAGGTATCGTATAAACTTACTCCTATTGGTTGAACGTCATCTTTCATTTCCGATTTATGTCAAGGTACGCTGGCATTTTACGGTTTACTTCTGGTATTGAATACTTAAGTTACTCATCAAACAGCCAATCGCTTACGAGATGGTGCAAATTTTACAAATTCCGGAAATATATTATTAAAAATTTTAACGATCTGAAATGCAAGTAAAACTTGAACTTTAAGGCTAAGAACTCGCTTAGCTGTTTCTTTTTCGCTCATATCTGTCGATAATAAAGTAATTTCTTTAAATCAATTGCTATTTGCGGCATATGTATAATATCAAAGGCTCACTGATCGGGGTAAAGAATTTGCAGACGTCAGCACATGTTGCTCTAACACGAGCAATATGTGTTTTTTCGCTGCAATCATGGATACAACACTGAAATGAAGTCTGAATACGATACTTTACTCCAGTTTTCGCCGCTTCGAGCCGGCTTTACATCGGTTTTCGCTGCTGTTACCGGTTGTGTGCGCACTTCAGCAAAAGCCGCGCTGACACAAGCCACGTGCATAGCATTAATATTGAAATTTACTCGATCTTTAGAATGAAATTCTTGGTGAAATGACTCTCCTAGCATTAAGAGTATCATTAAGATATGTCTCAAGTATCCCTATCAGGGATTGCTAAACCACGAACAATGATGGTATGAATCGTTTTGTTCGGCCAGAATTCCGCTAAACCGGATCGTATGAGCGAACCAAAGTTAAATATATATATTTTTGAAATACTGAGAGATCAACATGTAAATAAAATGACTCACCGTTGTTCTCACCGTTAGGAGAAGAAGCATCAAAAGCATCGTTGCAGAGTGTGATAACTACGAAGAGTTTAGTGTTATTCAATTTTCAAGAGTCACGAACGTCGAGAGGTGTTACTCATTGATGCCACGTAGAGTAATTGTAATTCTATAATTGTATAACTACATCCGTTTTGAATGACCTGCATCATGCAGATGACCCTTTTGCCGCATTGTGATTGTCATTGTCTGCAAATAAAAGCTTGTCAAAAGCTAGTTTCCTAAAACTCACTGTGATTTAAATTCTTGAACGCTATTTACGCAAACTCCTCACTACAAACTAACCAGTTTGTTTGATAAAAACAAGATATTATCATCTCTCATATAACATTTCAAATTAGACTATCATTTAATGGTCTAATTGACAGGGTTGCATACGTTAACTTTAGTATACAGTCCACTGTTCAGTTTAATCTAATTTACATTTGTGCTTATGAAGCATTTTATTTTTGCTCACTAAACTAATCTCTGTTCAACTTCGTGTACGAAAACCCGGTTTTGAAATGGACAAAATCGAAGAAAAATAGTGAAAAAAAAAGAAATTTCAAACTCTCCCGGCAACTTAACGAAGATTTCGTGCGATTACTCGTCATAGCAAATATCCGGCGCAAGTCTTTGTTTTGATAACCTACCTCGAGGGGAGGTCAGACTAATTAAAGAGTGAACTGAATCAAAACTCATATTTCTAGAGAAAAGCAGGAAGGGAACATATTTTCCTGTGTTGGAGAGATTTGAGATTTCAGTCAATAGCAACCCGTTTTTGGCCATATTTACAATGAAATCAGTTCAACAATTAGGTCAACAACGGCGAGGGAACAAACAAGTTTGCGAATGTTAAAAATTGCCTTATACTTGTTTAAGCAACAAAGAATTCATCTTGTACTTGTCTTTTGAGTGCTAATTTGAGTACAAATGTAACGGGAAGTTCGGTTAAATATCATTAAGAGATTAGGCGAATTTCAACAAAGAAAGCTGTTTTAAAGAACTGTGGCACCCTGGACACAAATAAACGCGTGACTAAAAGCATTGCTTCGTTAAGCTTCAAGGTCTTGTGGGATACAACTCTAGAAGATGTAGGCGCTAATCGTAGCTTAGAAATCAGGCACCTTGGAGTTTGAAAATTAAGGCTGCAACGCCATTGCTTAAAGATAATAAACGTAAAATGAACAAGACTATCGCACGTAATGTTTTCTTCTAATTAATTAGTCGCCAACGTGGCCATGGACCCCTAATGCGCGGTAAGAACTTTCAACTCCATGAAATTATCATGAGAAAGAAATCACTCGTTAATCAATGAAACTTGCTGAGAATTAGCAATTCTTGCCAAAGAAAACTATGGGGAATTTGAAAATGGCGTCTACCCCATCACGTGACTGTTCAAATTAGATAGGCAGCACCATTTCTCAATTTGCAACAATGAAACGTGTGTGGGATGAATACGTGACCAAGTATACGCTTTTTAAATGCGATACCAAAGAAAATGACAGGATAAACACCTAAAATAAAATGCTGATAAATACTTAGGATGCTAAGATGCCCACAGACCCACATTTTAAGTGAAACTGCGTCGCGACATTCCAGTCGATTGTTATGTGCAAGGTAACTCACGGTCATTTAGCGTAGGAAAAGACAAAATCAATTTGAATGTTGGGTACTTACTGCAGATGCTAAAGTTGAAAGAAGAGCAAAACACGTAATTCCCAACATCCTGCTTTTCTACTAGTTAAGACGATTTTCAAGTTTCACAAAAACACGACAAGTTGCCGGTGGGGTAGAAGAGTGATGTCCGTCGCACACGAGATAATATTAAAAGGACCGCTTATTTGGAGGCTCTCGTTTATAAAGGGTCCGTATCGAGTTGCATGCTGGGATACGGGATTTTCCCTCTCGAAAATGAAAGCGTTGTTATATTTTTTTAAACACTAGTTATAGTTCTCACTAGAGCTGTCCCCGCCCTAGAGTACCATTTTCTTTTTTTTTTTTTTTGAGTTGGGCTTGTTGTTTACAGTTGTGTAATTTTTCTGTTATGCTGTTACGGAATTGCGGCTCAGTACTTTGGTGTTAGTAATTTTGGATCTCAAAATACTACAAGTGTACAAAATGTAGTTTTGGGAAGTGCTTGGGGTTTTTTTTTTTTGCTGTGTGGTTTAACTTAGGATTTGTTTGTTCTTCACGATCAAGAAGAAGCAGAATGTAGGGACTTGGGTGAGTTTTAACATTGGAATGTTATAGGTGGCATTGGAGAACAATTTATAGACAGCATTGAAGAACAATTTATTGTTATATAGTTATTAGACACAAAATTATACCTTAAGAGGGCCCACATTCTCTCTTCTCCAGTCTTCCTCTATACTAGGACAAATCTCGTGTCAAAGACGCCGATCCTAAAAGTCCTCGCGCGCGTATCTTTTTACTGGCAGCCCATGACCATTTGCGGGAAAAACGTTAATACCTTGCGGCCGTGCAAGCGATCAAATCGAGATTTTTTCTGGTTATGATCTACCGAAAATAATCACATTCTCTCTTCTCCAGTCTTCCTCTATATTACACGGGGAGTCCTAAGGTGCCTCCTCGGGTTTTTGGCCCTCTGGGGCCAAAAACCCTGCGGGGGCAATAAACTCTAATTATGTGTCAATTTTCTGGGGTGCGTTGGTGTTACACCATATGAAGGTTTCCTCGGACACAATCATCTTTCAAGACCAAATTAGGTAATGTTTGACACGAAGCCACTTTTTGCCAAACGCTATAAATAGCCGGCTCAAACATTTCCTGTTAGTTGAAATCCATGATAATTGGTCATTAGTCATTAATTACCAATTGCGAACAAATCTAGATGTAAACCTTTTCAAACTCAGTGAAACGATTTTTTAACAACTTGGCGCCATGATGTATCTCATTTCGCCTCATAGCATTAGTTTAAGGGGTTTTATGAAAATACCTGTTTCGGTTCATGGCTGGCCTTCAGCTTGCTACTACATACTACCGACTACTGCGTAGTATTTAAGCGCCACTCTCACTAAGAGCGGTCCTCTCGACTTCGTCGGAATAAAAGTTGTATTTTATTTTTTGCCCCATGAAAAGAGTTTAGGACACATGTTTCAAATATAGTCTAGTTGTTCTTCAATTCTTTTTTTTTTTTTTTGCGTCCCCACAAGCCAAAAATTATTTTTGGCAAGACCACCCGTGTGGACAGCGATCAGATCGAAAGTGTAAATTTCATAGATTTTGTCCAGGGCGAAGTGAATGTAATAATACAGCTCACGCAATTCTATCTTGCTACAAGTTACAAGATGTATTTAGTTAGTTCAAAGACGAAATATGGAAACTTCGGCTTATATACCCGATATCTGATATGTATCTGATATATCTCTCTCCCGGAATGCCGAGACGACGAATCGAGTTCCGGTCATTTTGGTCTCGATATGTAAAATATAATACAGGTATGTATGGTGTGTTCTAAACATTCGAACACTGTAGGAAACGTTGCAAATATGGTAAGAGTACTTGCTGCCACTAAGAGCACAAGGGAAAATGTAAGGTAGCGAAAGAACGCCAGACTGACTAGAGATGTTTTCGAAATTTTTCGGAATTAAAGTTGTAGTCGGATTACATGAGTAACATGTTTGCAATTTCTCGAGATTGAAGGCTACTATTTATTTAATTTGTTCGTAAGTGCCTATCTGGGCTATCTGCACAAGTAGACAAAACCAGAATTCTCTTGCAAAAATCAAAGGGTGTCATTACAATTTGTGTCCTGACATATTTTTGTCTCGACTTTTGCACCGCTTAGAATTTCAAAGCTGTCAAATTTCATCGGCGTTTGATCTGCTTATGAGATCAACCGGCATAGTTAGCCGATGGACTCAAACTCCAGTTGCCAGGATTCATCGTACGTCTTTTCATAGTTTTAAAATCCTCGAGTTTCGCAATTAAAAAAAAAAAGTGAATGCCTTCCTGATAAATTTTAGTCAGTTTAATAACAAGCTGGTGGCAGCTGTAACGACAAATGGCGTTGAACACTCGGTTTCCTTTCACTGCGTTACATTTCCCTGGATGCTAAAAGATACTTTTAGTACATTTCCATTGTCTTTCCAGGCGTTCCGATGTTTAGAGCATACCAATAACTGTTTCATTTTTTCCAAATCAGGGCTGAAATACCCGCAGCCACTACGTTGTGGTCAATAACAGCGTAACATCAATAGTGATGGAAAGGAGGGCTCGTTCACCGCGTTTCGTGTACTAAATCTCTGGAGAAAGTGCACGAATTCTTTCAGAGTGTAAGCGTGTTGTTTTGTAAATATAACACTGTAACTTGTTTAGGTGTCTTTTTAAGCGACACGATATTTCTGTAATGATCAGAGTGCCAAATTTTATTCTTTAATTTTGATATTCTCCACACTGTGCGGGGTTCATGAGCTGATCTTTCAACGTAAATTATCGGGAAGGCGCCTTCCGATCACCTTTGTTTACTTGGTAAGTCACGCAAGCGCGCAAGCGTTGCTACCGACACGTTTTAGCAACATTTTAGGACAACTCGGTATCTGTTCTCCGTTCAGTTGTTATGAAAACCTAAAATACTCGACGTAGAAGATAAACGAACGAAGTTTGAACGATCAAAAGGAGAAAGGAAAAACTTGGTCAATTTTCTGAATTATGCAAATGATCTCTAACACGAGCGCAATTGAGCAAACACATGGATTTGCGTTGTTTTTAAGATGTTGATGAATGAGAGATAGAGATCTACCGGCGAGTTTGAGGTAATCGGTGACCTCAATGGTATATCAACCAAGCACCGATATGATTTTTTAGTCCGATTAACGTCTGCATTTTGAGAATTATTTCGTACAAATTTGCACGTGCCAACAGAGAGCCAGGCTGATTAATGGTGTCAAACAGGACGCCTTTAATTTGCAGTACTTGACTAAGTTTGGGGAAAGAAACATCCTGTACGGACAGTTCACGTGAACTAAGAATCGTTCTTTTATTGGGTTCATATTAATCGTTTAACTGTGACCATTCCAAGGTGTTAATGTTCCTACCGGTAACATTTATCAATTAAATAAAAATTGACTGAGCAATCTTTTTTTGTTATGATAACTTCTCAATGTTTGTTTGGTGCCGGCGACCTTACTATCCGCTCCTTATTGCAAATTTATTGTTAAAAATGCCATAAATAGCACGGCATCGCCGTGTCATGATTTGGAAACTCTCATCGGTGAAACTTAATTTCAAAATCTATTTGTTTTATAATTATTTCTACTGTGTAGTGATTCAAGCAGAAGTAAAGACCGCATATTTTAAGGAACTTAGAAAAATGCTTTGCGTGTTTTCAAACAGAAATAGTCCTAGCAGGGGAAAAAAAAACCAAAAACAATAAATCAGCTGACCAGATTATTAAATTATTTGACAACATGACAGAAAAAAGATTAAAAACAAACAAAAAAAAAAACAAGGGAACAGGAAAAGGAAATGCGTAAGATCCGTTTCAAGCCAACTGCATATTTGCACTGCGGTGGAAAGATGAAATTAGAAGATCCTCGCAGCTAAGAACACTACTGAGTTGTAGGTAGGACCTGAAAAAAATTTTTCAGGCCCGTACGGGATTTGAACCCATGACCTCTGCGATACCGGTGCACCTTGTTCAAGAATGTTCAAACTGTTTGCGATTGTTTTCCCCAGGTGTCGATGTTTTGATAAAATTGTTCTTAATTATCAAGCAGAAACGGCAAAAGTACAGTAAGATAGCATTCTACAGAGTTAAGCAGGCGTTTTTCCACATCTTCAGACGAGTTTTCCTATGAAGAAATGCTTACTCAGCACCGTCGAATGTTACTTTGGCGCGCTTTTGACTGTTCTCAGCTGGTAATCAAAAAAAAGATTTTTTCATGCTATTGCCCCCTCGGAAATTGCTACCGGAAATTGCTTGAAAATTCTTGAGTAGCTTTTAGGAAACGTATCTTACGCGCTTTTAGTGTGAATCAGACCGATTAATATTCTATTTGTTATCGGGATCATGACAGCACTTTGTTAATTAAAATGTTGTCATTTGCCAAAACGGCGCCTCTTAGAAAAATCGGTTGTCATGCACTCAACTGCCCTTTTGCAATTGCTCACAAAACCCAACCAAAATGTGGTTGATATTGTTCGCGGATATGCATGTCTTTCACACTAACTGGACCCTAATCAACATTTCTCACTTAAATCGATTGCAATCAGTCACTACCTTTTTTTTAACCTCTCTTGAGTCCATTGTTATATGATAGAATTGAAAATTACATTTGATTTGACCAACCTAACCCAATTACTGAGCAACTGGGTGAGAAATTCCACTTGAAAAAAATATGCACAAAACACTTTTCTGAAGTAAAAAATATAAATTCCGTGGACAGATAGGAGCTCAAGAAACCATGTACTCTCGTCAAATGCACAAAGGAGCAAACAAACAAACAAACAAACCAGCTAAACAAAAACGGAAGTGATATTACAGTGCTTAACTTTTGTTATCAGACTTTGTTCGGAAAAAATTCCAGCAATATTTGCGCAACGCGAATACGAAATGAAATTAACAAGAGGACTCAATGAATTGGAAAGCTTCTGATTACATATTTTATCTGCTTCGCGTGATCTTGATGTCGGCACCCGCATCGGAAAGTCATTAGGGAATTAATGAGAAATAACGGCGGCGCGCCGTGGACAACGTCAGTTAAAAAATAAATATTTTACTTAAGAATCTAGCGATACTCTTAGGTAATAAGCTGGCTGCACATTCCATGTGCAGCACGTCAATTTGCTTAAGTAATTCAAGCCAATGTTTAAAGCCTCGCGGCGGCATGAGGTGTGGCTACCGTATCTTTTCTGTTTTAGTTCATTTCCGTTTTAGATCCATTTTCCGGTTTTACGTTAAGTTACATGTCGCGTGGCGATATCCAGGGGATTGCACGTGCTTTGACATTTTGGGAGAGAGTTTTACTTTCGTGCAGCTGTTTTGGTTTGCATAACAGTTCTTTAACGTGATTGTGATCGTGATGGCATCTTGTAACGGTACAAACGGATTGAAAGCGAAAGCTACATGATGTGTTCGCTGAACATTCCTAGACATCAGCTGATCTCTACAAAGAAGTTGAGAAGGTTCCCCTCGAACTAAATATAGAACATAGCGTCGAACTGAAAAATTAGCCGTGGTCGTTCATGTTCGCCAGACGACGCAAAGTTTGGTCATTTCAGGTTGATGTTTTGCAGAGGACGCGAAGAAATTTACTAAGATTTAGAACGAACTTGCGAAGCCATTAATTGTTCAGCTGCTCCTTGAACCTTCTGAACAGGAACGTTCCATTGCCGCTGGATACGTGTTTTATCAGCGATGATAATTTTTATTATTATTATTATTTTGAACAGCGATGCTGTTTCATCTTTACCAGTAATATTTACCTTAAGTAAGTGGCCGATTAGAATAAATATCGATCAAACAAAAAAGGATAAACTCAATATCGATCAAACAAAAAAGGATAAACTCAAATAAAAAAACTATGACTCACTTGGAGAGGAATCAAACATGGAGGGATTTGAAGTATTTCAGTCTCGCAAAATTGCATGTTAATTATGACCTAGCTTGTCTGAGCAGAGGTCACTTATGACAAAGAAGAATAGCGATGTCTTAAAACAATTTGAAGTGATCTCGGATATATCTGCTGTTTAATACCCGAAAGCTTTTACAAACTTTTCATTTTAAAGAGAGCAAACAAATTTAGAGAACGGCGAAAAGACTGGGATTGTATCGCTTCGATTACACCGAATTACTTGACACCCACTTGTCACACGCCGTCCCAGAGGAATTGATAAGTGCGTATCGATGCTTGCCAATTGCGTTAGTGCGAATAAAATGAACATCGATGGGAACGGGATACAAACATTGTAGAACAAGATTCAAGAAGGGTCTGCTTTAAGGTTTTGGGTTACTCTCGCCATGCAATGCAACGCCAAAAAGTGCCAAAAAAGTAATTACTGAAAATTCATCTGCAACACCTCGGTAGTTCTTTGGCGCGAAGTTAATAATTGCCAAGCGGATCTCAGATCCGCCTCAGCCTCATTTGTAGAAATTCTTTTCGTCATGGTATTTCCGTTCTCGCAAAATTGCATGTTAATTATGACCTAGCTTGTCTGAGTAGAGGTCACTTATGACAAAGAAGAATAGCGATGTCTTAAAACAATTTGAAGTGATCTCGGATATATCTGCTGTTTAATACACGAAAGCTTTTACAAACTTTTCATTTTAAAGAGAGCAAACAAATTTAGAGAACGGCGAAAAGACTGGGATTGTATCGCTTCGATTACACCGAATTACTTGACACCCACTTGTCACACGCCGTCCCAGAGGAATTGATAAGTGCGCATCGATGCTTGCCAATTACGTTAGTGCGAATAAAATGAACATCGATGGGAACGGGATACAAACATTGTAGAACAAGATTAAAATACCATCAACCCAACAACGCTTTCAGGCCTTCAATTAAAAAACGGCAATGAATTAACCAATCGTTAATTACCGCCCGATAACAAAGTTTCCATGCCTTTCAGTAGTTCACAATGAAACACCCACAACTCCTACTTTCCAAAACAAGAAATATTCAACGTAACTAAAGACAGTTTCCACTTACCGACGATGCCGTAACTGACACGAGTAGAAGCACTATAATGATGTATTCACACCTCGGTCCTAACATGTTGATTCCTCTCGGACAGCCGCAAAAAGTTAAAAAGAAGACGTAGACGAGTATCAATCCGCCGAATGTGCGTCTGTATGTGCTCCTCGCAAGAGTACCGAAACGTTCGTTCGCCTTCAGATTTAATCGGACTTTCCTTCGATGTGCATGTTGGGATAGGGGTTTCCCCCTTCCTGCGCTTCCTGCGCTTCCTGCGCCCCACCACCACCACATTTGAAACGGGGAAACCCCCTATCCCAACATGCACATCGAAGTCTCGTATCGATAGTTGCTACACACCATTAAATTACCTTATGTGCATAATCTGCTCAAGCCCTCTATAGTACTGGTAACTAGTTTTGTCAAGAGCCCATCATATGGGCGCCTGGTTTTGTTCAGGCAGCAAGCATTAGGTGGAATCGAGTACAGTGAAACATGTGGACATTTTATTTATTTAGAACATTAATTAGATGTGGACGTTTTACTTTGTTTAGAACATTAATTAGATGTGGATGTCTTACTTTATTTAGAACATTCATCAGAACTAAATTAAAAATATGCCTCTTGATTTACTACTTCGATTCCGGGGTTCTCTCTAATATAGCTTAGATATCATATTGGCTCTTTTGAAGCACTTCCGTAATAGTGCTTCCGTTTGAAGCACTTGTCCTCAACAAGCACAGAGCTCGCGCTTGTGGACGATCCCGAGGACGATATCGCCGATGCCAGTGTGCCAGGTGTCATACATTTTACATGTAATTTGAAACATAACAAATTTTGCGTTTGCTTGCAGAAGCTTGACAGTTTCAGTGCCCATTTTTGTATCCCCTCTTGTGTCAGCAGTTTAGTATTAATTAAATCTTCACAGTTTAGGAAATTCAATTTTTCCTTTTCAGGTACTGAATACTCGTCATCCCCATCTTTCGAAGAAGCGTTATTGTCAACTCAAACAGGTGTGTGCATATCAGTTTCACTCTAAACAGTTTTGAAGTTCAAAGACATGTTCTTAACCCTTTAACTCTCATGAGTGACCAAGACGGAATTTCTCCTTTCAATATCAACACCAAATCAAGCATACAAGTGAGGAGAATAAAGATAACAACTCAATTAGGGGACTACAAGTTGATCCAATACCAAAATCCCTAAATTGAAATCATAAGTATTTTAAGGCAGACTGTAGGGAGAATTACTCAATGAGATCTTGGAGTTAAGGGTAAATAGACTTAAATAAGCATAATTTTTTGTTTCAGTTACTCGTAATTTGGCTGACTTTCTGCAAGCAACCGATGTGCTGATCGAAGATTAGAGGACATCAAAGCTGCCAAAGCAGAATTGGTGGCACCGAACCACTACATTAAATGAAAGCTGGGCAGCATTTCAAGAGAGCTTGTTCAACACCATCATTTCTGGATGAAAAAAGCTGTATAAGTGACACTAGCTGCATGAAATACAGAAAGGATCCAGCTGTCATACATTGTCTTGATTGCCACTTGCACACAAGATTGTGTGGACTTTGTAACCAGTCGGTTCACAACTTCCACCCATTTCACGATTGTGATGCTGTGAAGAGTGGTTTTCCAAGTCCAATTCCCCCAAGTGTATCCACTGATAGTGATGGAGAGTGGATTTTTGTAGGTATGTAATATAAATGAATTTTGGAGGTCATTGTTATATCCCGTCAGCTATGGTAAGAATCGTGTAATTGATCCATTTCCTTGTGTGGCTAACTATTTCTGTGCTCTTGCATTTAGGTGGAAATTTTAATGTTAAAAACTAAGTTACGACTATTGTTTAGTTATAAAATAATATAACATCATGATCTGCTTAATCTAAGTTTCTTTTTCTTGGATAATTTTCTTTCTTATTCTTCAAGCACCCAATCATCAAGTTGTACACAGAATGAATAAACCTTAATTTGCTTTTTTAAGCTTTTACATATCAATTCAAATTTAAGACTAACCCTAGGTTATGTCAACCCAGCTTTGAACAACACGGCCCTGATGGCTTAGGAGATACAAGTATTTCATCATTTCCTTACCATTCTATATGAAAGATTGCTATCCAATCTTTGCAACACTGGAGATTCCATTTTCTTTTTCTTTGGCTAAACTCTTCCTTTATGTTTTAAAATGGGAGAATGCTATTAATTGTTATGTCTTAGTTGTTAAGCACTACATGTGGCATTTCAGAGCATTTGTTTCCATTGTCTCAGTTTTCATTGACATGCCCTAGGTGTAGCTGCAGCAATATCCAAACAGTTGGGAACAAAACAGATGTATAGTAGTTACTTTCAGAGGTAAGATATTATGCTGTGTAATTTGTTGTAAGTGTTTCTCTTGTGGTTCAAATTCTTTTTGTTTCACTATTTTTTGAACCAGTTAAATTTATATTTTTGTCTGTTACCAAATTTAATCCCAAAACTTAACTGAAACCACAGCATAATGTTCTGTGCAACTGTTATGTTCAGTTACATGTACATTCTTTGCTAGGGCCCTTAATTTATAAACCAGGTCATAGTATTTAATTGAAAGAGGACCTTGGAATGGAACTCAAAACTCTGTACTTATTACCTTTTCTCAAGTAAATAGGACAGTTTGATGTTGGTCATGTATTGTTCCAATGCCTCCACTGTGAGAAAGACCTGCCAACTTATGACCCACTAGTTGTCACATAATCTGGGTTCCAGGAAGTATTAGTATGAGTTATGTGTTTGATCCTGAGGTGGTTTTGCACTGGGACCTTTTCCAGAAGGAAAGTCCAGGGTCTTCAGATAGGTCTTTTGAAAAGAAGGGTATGTACACCTAGACTGTTTGAAATTTTATATGACAATGATAGGTTATGTTTATCAAATATTATTAGGTTGAGGTACTTTGAAATTTTGGGAACTGGGTATGTGTTTACATTTATTAGAGTTATTTTTCTTACTTTAATCTTATGAATAATTTGAGAAGTCATTACTGGTAACTGAGGTCCCTCTCGCAATAAGTTAAGGAAGGAAGAAGGTTGATGCACACCTTGGACCTGCACAGCATATTTGTCTATTTTCATCAGTTTTATGGACTCAACACAGCATAACACATTATTAAATCAAAATATTCTCTAAATTGGTCTACCATATGTCTCAAGTTCTTTGTTTCCATGCTTGGTATTTTTATTAGACTGTCTGTTGTGCACTCACAATTAAACTTTTGATTTTGTAACAATTAACTTCTAGATTGGACAATAAACTGCAAAACATTTGGCACTGCCTTTAAGGAATGAAAGTTTTGCCAGTATAAGCTAGATGAAATTTGCCTCATGGACTGGATGAAGTGCCCACCCTGTGAAGAGAGCCAGCACTCAGTTCATGTGGATGGGAATATGAAATTGTATTGTTTCAAATCAGCTGGAATGTTAGTACTATAAACTTATATATATATATTTATTTTTTCAATTATTTTATTTATTTAGGGTTCCAGTTCTCTCCTGGTGTGTTAAATTTCCTTGTTTCCTAAGATGATTAAAAACTTTATATAATTAGGTTCCTTGTAATCTTTAGGACCTTAAAATATCCTGGCTTGTAAAATACTGTGTTTGAGTTTGGCTTTTCTGTGTGTTCATCTCATTCATAGTTCCCTGGAGTCTGTTTGATTTTGATGCTACAACTTTCATAATAGATAATAAGAGGCTGGCATGATGAATGGGGAGATATCTGGCTATGCCCATTACTTGCAGACAGCTTATTGTATACCTAAAAGGGTACAGTTCCTTTTGTATGACATCATCTGCATGTATTGGCCTTGGCTGAAAAAACATGACAAGCAGTCAGTGGAGAACATGAAGCAGCTTTGTCTGCTATGCATGCTAAAGCACATTCATGGTCTTTGTAGGTACAGTGTGCCTCATAACAATGAATAATGAGGCAAACCATAGCTGAGAAATATTTTTTCCCCCTTTTTTGTGTGTTGCTTTTCTGCCTCATGCTTATTGTTGCTGTGTGCATAAATAATATACTGTCTTTCTGCATCATATGTTTTTATCAAACAATGGAAAAGGATCTTCATTTTGAGGAATACTGGGTAATGTTCAACTGCAGCTACAAAATTAAATAATTATGATTGTTTGTAGGTTATCTGGGGTGGCAGATGGCAGCCTGTGCTTCAGCAACCACTGGTGAGGAGGTGGAGCAAATAAAATTAATTGTCATTTTTCATGGCTTGGTACCAGTAAGCATATTCTGGAGGGCAATTTGTTTTAAGGATGAAAGTGCCTGGTAAGCATCAGTGTACATACTGCTTTGGGAAATAAGCTTAGTTCTTCCACAGTTAAGAAAAAAGAAAATAAATTAAAACTGTATCGACATGTCAACGTGTTGAGTTATGTGAGCTAATTAGGGAAACCTATTTACCCATCTAAAGTACTGGGACTATTCACAATGTAGAAAGAGAGTAGTGCAATATATACAAGTAAGCATAGTTCACATGGTGCAAAGCTTGCAACTGGTAACTGGAACTGAATTTCTTATTTGTTTACTTGCTTCTCAAGGTGAGAAGAGTTGCTAACAGAGCATGCCCTCCAGTGGGACAGGAAAAAAATTGAAAAGCTTCCCCTCTCCCGGTTAAGCGATATTCTAAGGTAGGCTCAGAATCTCATAGATATCAATAAAAAGCACTTTAACCGTCTGTTAGCTCATAACCTAGTTGCATATTTTAACTTGTGTGATACTGTATTATTTGTATTACCATTATAAATGGTCTTGTTTTTAGCACTTCTATAACTTGTAACTTTTAATATGTTATTTATTGCGTGAATAGATTGAATAGACAAATATTGAGTTGTTGTTGTTGTTTTGCGGTTAAGAATATATGAAAGTCATATATTTGAACTGTGGATAAAGACATGAATGAAAGTGATCCTCGCAGTGATGTGCACTACTTAGGCAGTAGTGAAAATAAGGCCTGAAAAAAATTTTTTTTTTTGGGCCTGTACGGGATTTGAACCCATGACCTCTGCGATACCGGTGCAGCGCTCTACCAACTGAGCTAACAAGCCAACTGGGAGCTGGTCATGATAGTGGTTCTAAATAAACCCATGAAGTGATGAATATGCGGTTAAGAATATATGAAAGTCATATATTTGAACTGCGGATAAAGACAGTGATGTGCACTACTGCCTAAGTAGTGCACATCACTGCGAGGATCACTTTCATTCATGTTGTTGTTTTGTTATCATTATTATCATTATAGTTATAATTATCATCATCAGCACAGGAAAGTGAAATATTGGCTTGCTTGTTTAGTCTCTGAAGCACCAAGTCCAAATCATGGACCTTAGATGATCAGTGATGATGATGATGATGATGCTCATTATCATCATCATCATTATCATTATCATATATGAAGACAGGAAATAAGAACAGCATCATCCATCAGGATATTTTTGTTTGTATTGTTATTTTAAGAGGGCTGTGATTGAATTATTAAACTTTATTCACACAGACAAAGATTCAGCTTTCCAATGCCAAAGAGGAATTATTTTAGCATTTGAAAGAACTCCACATTCCAGTTGATGTATTAACTGTCTGGCAGAAGGAGATCTTCCATGCCGCCCAAGGTGAGATATCTGAGAACCGCCTTTTGAGAAATATTTTAATACTTACTGACCGTGATGTAGCTTTACTGTTTTTCCAATAAAATCTGTTCACGAATTTGTGCATTGAAGCATATAATTAATATATGTAAATATGCATATATGTAAACATCCTTGTTTTTAATACAAAGGTTTATCAAATTCATCATTCTTAAGAAGAGCAGAAAAAAGAACTTGTTGGAAGGCTTTCCAGTTTTTCGTTAATTTGTCATTAATTTCCAGTATTCTTAGAAAGAGAATTCCCAGAAGTCTAGGAAAGTTGCTGTATCGAAGGAAGAAGAAGAGTTTTTTCTCAAAGTTGTCGGTGTGAAAATTGTAAATTTAACAGAAAAACACCAAAACCTGTGTAGGGTTGCTAAGCAGATGTATGGTCAGCATATGTACAACCAGATACTGTCAAGATGTGCTGATTCAAAGATGGGAAGGTACTTCTTCTGACGAAGGTGGCTAGGGGGAAATTATTCTGTTCGAGATTACTTCTTCTCGATTTCTCAGGTGATGTACAACATGGGAAAGCAAGGGGGTTAGAACTCTTGGAAAACCATCAAATTTCCGAAAATATGATTTTAGTCAGCCATTCATTAGTATAGTTAACGTTTTTAATTAAAAGTGACAGTAATCATCTACTTTGTGCCAATATCAGAGCGTGTTGACCTTTTAAAAGGAAACACACTTCTTTTCCCCTCCTTATTTTTTATGCAGACTCGTTAAAAACCACAATGTGCGACTACAATCAACCAGAAAACTGCACTGAAGCTTTGATAGATGGCAACGTTTTGGTGCTGTTCCGTAGTTTACCCGTGAAGTCAGAACAAAATTGAAACCAACGAAAAGGCTCTACACTAAAAGCTGCTCTTTGTTGACACATTGCAGCAAAATTTTCAACTTATCGTATTCAGTTAGCACTTGGTCTTTTGTTAGCTTGTTCATTTCCATTGGGTATCAGTCCACAGAACTTTCAATACGCTAGAAGATCATTCACAATATACGGCGTAAACCTAAAGTGGGGATCAGTTTTTGGGGTAAATTCCTGGAATTGACACTGTGTTTGTCTTTCTGACTCACTTTTTTTCCTTGTTGTAGACATCCAGTGCTCTAACTTGGATGAAGGCGATACAAAAGCTGCAGAGCGTTCATCCGAGAAAGTGAGATGTGCTTTTTTGGATTTGCAGCTTCGGATGTTCGGCTATGTCACTTCGCGGATTTCCGAGAATCTTTGGTTATGATTTACGAGCTATTAAATATTCCATCTCAGTCCCTCTCGACCGAGGTGATTTTGGTGGATGGAATCTAATGCTGACCGGTGTGCGCACTCTGATTACGTTGCATCATGGGCGTAAAACGAAAAACGAGTCATTTACATCCTGTCGCGGTCCAGTGAACATCTCTGTTGGTAGCAAGATAGCGTGAATAAACGTGGAATGTAATGGTGATTCACTGTCTGTTGCCGTTTCTTCGAAAGTTAAATAGTGTTTGCGGGCCTACGCGACTCCTGTCATTCCTCCGTGACAAATTCGTTATTAGGAAGCAGCTGAGGAGATTCAGAAAGAATCGAAACTGCAGCCTTGCCCAAGAATCTATTCATCTCACAGCCGATGGCTTTGTGAATAATATCAAATTCGCGAGTTATATAACGGGGAATCGACCTTTGACTTGGAAACGTATTACAAAGAGACAGCGACCTTCTCTAATACACGAACTATTTTTTCGTGTCATATTCTCTAAGGCGTAAATACGGGATTCGCGAAAGGAAAAGCCTTACGCCTCCCAAGACCAAATTCGTCACGCTCAACGTTAATTAAAAACGTACAGAGTTTCAAATATGCTTAAAAAAGTGAGAATACCCAGAGTAAGGTTTTGAGAAACCTACCTCTAGCGATATTTTCTGCGGGAGAGACAGTATACTTGTAAACAAAAAAATAGCGCGCACATATGAAAATATTACCTTCTGTAACACGATCCCACTCGGCTTTTCTAAACCTCAAGAGCATACAGATGGGGAAATGACACCTTAAAACTAACCCTTATTATCACATCGCAAACGAAAGACATTAAAAGATATTTTAATAACTTCCGGCTTATGCGGCGTGTCACCGTGTGTATTGTAGAGTTATTCATAGGTCAAGTGACTCCTTCTCTAATTCAACTATCCTTCATTCAGTGATCAAGATAATAAATTTACCATACAACGCTCGTGTTAGTTAATTTGCTTTTACTTTGGAAAGTAGATTTACAACACAATAGTAAGGGAAGGTACGTTTTTTCTTGAGGAGGAGGGGAGGGGGGGCTGGGCCCTCAGAGGGGAGGGTTAACAGTGAAAGTTAGCACCAAAAGGGGAGGCATGACGAGCTTTGCTCACCAAAAGAATTTATGCAAATGAGGCTGAGGCGGATCTGAGATCCGCCTGGCAATTATTAACTGTAAGAGAAGAACTGACTTCGCGCCCACAGAATGACCGAGGTGTTGCGGATGAATTTTCAGTAATTACTTTTTGGGCACTTTTCGGCGTCCAAATTGCATGGCGAGAGTAACCCAAAACCTTAAAGCAGACCCTTCTTGTCACAATACGAATGTTTTCCAGATAGGGACACGCGTTAATGTCAGCTCCACTCGCGTGATTGCATTTTTCAAGGTTAAACCCTCGCGTGGATCTAACAACTCAAGTTTACTTTAAAGCGCACAATGTAAGCCAAAGTAATTTTATAATTTAACTCCATGATCGAAATTTTGTTTGCAAAGGATAATAATAGATCGAAATCGACCTAGAGCGTCAGCTTCACTCGCGGGGAGTCAACCATTTTCTCTTGCCCCTTGCGCAACATAGAATGCAAATTTGCTGACCCACTCTATTGATACACACAACTCGACAGTCGTTAAGAGTTAAAAAAGATGAAGTTTTTTACCAAAACCATGTATTTCCGATTTTTTTAACGCTAACAAAAATGTAGTAATGGTATGTCCACTCCGGAAAATAATACCGCAAACAACAGCAAGCCCTAACCGCGATGAGAACACTCATGGATCACACAGCGCAACAGAACTCATTTTGTTTGTTTGTTTGGGTTTTTTCCGATAATATTGGCCTGTAAAGAAATATATAACGGAGTTTTTTTGTATCCTCCGCCGGCACCATATAATTGGCTAAATGCTAAGGAAGTAATATACTTTAAAGAGATCATTAAAGGAGTAAAATCTTTAAAGAAATTTTTCCTGCTGGGGTTTCCTGGCGCGCCACTGCGAACACAGCGAACCTCATGTATAAGGCTGCGAGAAAATAAACAAAGACAAGTAGAAAAAGTTCTTTACTCACAAATCTCTTTTACAATCTATGACCGATTTTACATCTCGTGTCTGAAACAAGAGTTGGAAATGTAAATGCAATTTAATACGTTACGAGAAGAGGTATTTTACTCGTTGGTAATTTTATTCCTAAATTCGTTATTTATTTTTAATTGAAAAATCACGGGATTTGAGGACAGACACCACCAAGGCAAACACAACATCGACGTAAAAATTACCAGTCAACGGAACGTGCACTTATGATGTGTAATTAAGTTAAGGTTGGCTGGTCATCTAAACAGGAAAACTATCTTTTTTTATTAAAACAAACATTGCTTTTTCATCACGGCTTTTCGCGGTTAACGTTCAATTAAATCTGCAAAGGAAAAAAAATCAAGACAAGTAAATTTAATTATGTCGCAATTCAAAATTAGTTTGTCATAAGATGAAAACGCACAGTCTAAAATGAAACAACTCCCAAAGAGAGACAGAACCAAATAAAAAAAAAGGAAAGATTTTGCCTTCAGATAACAAAAGTCCAAATAGGACTGACTACCCAAGAGAGACAGAACCAGGTGAAAAAAAAGGGAAAGGTTCTGCCTTCAGATAACAACAGCCCAAATAGGACTGACTACCCAAGAGAGACAGAACCAGGTGAAAAAAAAAAGGAAAGGTTCTGCCTTCAGATAACAACAGCCCAAATAGGACTGACTACCCAAGAGAGACAGAACCAGATGAAAAAAAAAGGAAAGGTTCTGCCTTCAGATAACAACAGCCCAAATAGGACTGACTACACAAGAGAGACAGAAACAGGAGAGAAAATACAGGAAGGTTCTGCCTTCAGATAAAAACAGCCCAAATAGGACTGACTACCCAAGAGAGACAGAACCAGGTGAAAAAAAAGGGAAAGGTTCTGCCTTCAGATAACAACAGCCCAAATAGGACTGACTACCCAAGAGAGACAGAACCAGGTGAAAAAAAGGGAAAGGTTCTGCCTTCAGATAACAACAGCCCAAATAGGACTGACTACCCAGAGAGACAGAACCAGGTGAAAAAAAGGAAAGGTTCTGCCTTCAGATAACAACAGCCCAAACAGGACTGACTACCCAAGAGAGACAGAACCAGGTGAAAAAAAGGGAAAGGTTCTGCCTTCAGATAACAACAGCCCAAATAGGACTGACTACCCAAGAGAGACAGAACCAGGTGAAAAAAAGGGAAAGGTTCTGCCTTCAGATAACAACAGCCCAAATAGGACTGACTACCCAAGAGAGACAGAACCAGGTGAAAAAAAAGGGAAAGGTTCTGCCTTCAGATAACAACAGCCCAAATAGGACTGACTACCCAAGAGAGACAGAACCAGGTGAAAAAAAGGAAAGGTTCTGCCTTCAGATAACAACAGCCCAAATAGGACTGACTACCCAAGAGAGACAGAACCAGGTGAAAAAAAGGGAAAGGTTCTGCCTTCAGATAACAACAGCCCAAACAGGACTGACTACCCAAGAGAGACAGAACCAGGTGAAAAAAAGGGAAAGGTTCTGCCTTCAGATAACAACAGCCCAAACAGGACTGACTACCCAAGAGAGACAGAACCGGGTGAAAAAAAGGGAAAGGTTCTGCCTTCAGATAACAACAGCCCAAACAGGACTGACTACCCAAGAGAGACAGAACCGGGTGAAAAAAGGGAAAGGTTCTGCCTTCAGATAAGAACAGCTCACATACGAATGACAAAACCGGGAAAAAAATTCAAAAATGAAGGTTCTTCCCTCACGGAGATAAGTCTGATTACACGAGAGAGTGGGTAAGAAATAACAAAAGAACGAGAGTATCTTCAGGATTCTGCTTTCGAAACTGCGAAATAGTACAGTACGATTAGTAAGAAAACACACTAACCTGCCAAGAGCGCGTCATCTTATAGGGAAGGAATATTTGAGCTGTGATGTCAGGGTTCATTCCATAATTAGGTTTCAACAGTTGGATAATACACCATGTGATTTTAAGCATCTGTCACCTAACTATCACAGAAATAATTCCTTCTCTTGCTTCGAAAGCACAGAAGTAAAGGTAAACCTTGCTTTGCTGATTAAATGGTTTGGGCATCATCATTTTCCGCTCAAAGGTTATTAAGCAGCGAGATTTATCGCGCGTCATCATATAGCTCTAGACAGAAATTATCAGGCATACAACCTTGTCTAAAAGCCAAATTGGACAGGCCAGCGAGTAGAATTTCTTCCTCGCGAAGTTTTACACAGTTAAGACCTTACCTTAAGGAAAGAACGATGGCCCCTTTTCGCAGATACCGCCGAATATACTCGTACCTTCGCACAGAATTTTCGCGGGACAAGTTCCCGCGCTTACCTGATGATTGGGACTTACTAAAATGATATTTTATACTGAAAGAGCTCCTCAGTATGGACGCCAGAAAAGTATTATCAAAATATCTACCCAATCGTTTCAAGTGTTAAATGATACTCTTGTATCTCCAGAACATACTGCAGTCGAAATCTCTCTTGAAAACAAGGTCCTTACCGAGCGGCTCACCGGCTTCTATGTTGACTTAGGGTCAAAGGTCTGATCAGAGTGAAATATAAGTTGGCTAACACAATTTAATTTTGGTATTGTCGTGACAGAACAGATAATCGCTCTTTGCGTCACAAACCAATAAACCTGTAGATCACGAACAAAACATGCTGGGTACAATAACTGTTACTTGATAGTCATGTCACGCGCTACAACCAGGCTATCTTCAAATGCCATGACACACTACGGCTTAGCTAAGCCGTTCTTGTCGCTGAATCATTCTACAATTATGAAAATTGCCATTCACGCCAAGAATGCGTAGTTATCTCCAAAGAGAAAATTGTGCAAAAGAGTCCTAAATTTACGTAGTACTCCTAACGCGCAAGCCGCGCGGATCCTCGCGCCTGTTTACATTTTAATTGTTAACTTCAATTAATTTCACGCTCGAAGCCAAACACCTCGCTTTCACTTGCTAATTGAGCCCTCTCGCTTTACTTTGACAAGCCTATGGATATATTAAACCCATCCCTGGTGAGAATTCTTTTCTTGAGCAAAGCTCGTCATGCATACCTCTGTTATTCAATGAGAGGGTCACACACCTTTTCCAGAATTTTTTTAATGAGGATTTTTGTAACATTTCTTTCCATTTTCCTTACAGAATAATTTTTTATTTTCACCTACTTTGATTTCATTTGGTGTTTTATTAAAGGTTCTAGGTTACACTACTACATGTACATTATGCCATGGCACATAGTTTTCTCGGAGGACTTGTACTTGTGTCCTTTTTCCGTCCATATCGAGACTTCAGCAAATATACCAGACTGATTGTTCGTATTCTCTTGTTTCAGCTCGCACACATTCAATATCGAGATATATCAGGAGCTCAGGATATATTTATATTCAAACATTTTACATTCACAAGCGAAATGTTCTGAGGTTTCTACGGCATGGAACATACCATGTAGTAGTGAGGGGAGGGTCACACTTTTGTCAGTCACTAAAGGTGGGGGGTCAGGAGTTTTTTTCGTTAAAACGCAAGGGAGGACCAACACTTTTTTCGGAAGATAATATCAAAATTCCACAGCCCCCCCAAGAAAAAACGTACTTTTCCCAAACGCTGTGTGGCGCAACAATAGGCCTTTTCTCGGCCATAATCGGTCTCAAACACTAGCACTTAAACTGTGAGAAACACATGTACCGTTGGAGAGCGTTTGAAAGCGTTTGGTCAGAGCTGTTAAGGAAGGATCAAAGCGGCCATCCAAATCTTTGAAAGGATTCAAACTACGACCTACATCAAATTTGACCTTCTCGAAAACCGGTCTCAAACTACATACTGAAAAACAGCGATTGCGTTTGTCCTTGAGAACCGTATG